TGCTATATGCTCATATAAAATTTGGCATAGTTTGTTCGTTCTTTCTTTCTTTCTTTTTTTTTTTTTATAGAGCCATTTTCTTTGTTTGCTTTTGTTTTGACATGCTGGAGCCTTCTGATTTAATTTGTTTTGCTCTTGTTATGTGATTAACTAGGTAACACTGCCTAACCAGATCACTTCATCACCAAACAGCCTGGTGTCTGGGGGGAAGTTAGTTCCTGGGACACACAGAGGTGAATGAGCAAAGGTTAACACCAGTTCCTAAGTTTTTTTTTTGTGTGTGTGGGGGGGGTTATTTAATGAAAATAAATTTAAAGAAAGGTTCGTGGAAATAAAGCAGTTTGCATAAATTTTTGTTCTTCCTGGTTTTATAGTTTGTCCACAGTGGTAGGAGGAGATGCTGATGGGCAGAGTGTGTGTCTGTCTGCTCTCCCTCTCCCCCTCCCTCCCTGTGGTCCTTAGCTGGAGCCTAAGCTACAGGGAGGGAAAAACATGATAACATGTTATTTTCAGTATTGATATTGTGTCGTCTGCCTCCCACCCAATTCCTTCAATTGTCTCCTAGATTAGAAAGAAGCATTGTTTCTCCATTGTTTTTGTTTGTTTGTTTGCTTTTCAGATTTTCCCCTCCCATCACCTGCCTCTCCCTGAGATAAAAGACAACAATAAGGCCCATTATGTGACTAGTCCTCAGGCCTTCAGACGTGCAGAGGCAGAGCTTGCTGGGCAGTGCAGGGGCTTGGGACAGCAGTTGGTGGCTGAGGACAGTCTCCCGTGGCTGCTCTGGAGCTAGAGCAGCAGGCCCACACTAGCAGAGGTCTGTGGCCCGGGCACAGTGGTGTTCCTGCCATTCCCGCAGGTCCCAGTGCACCTGGGATCCGCCACACCCAGCTGGTATCAGTCAACAGTGGATCATGCCGTGTGTTTTTTTAATTCATGATTTCCTCTTGAAACTCAACTAAATAGTGTTAACTCCTGTGTGTGTGTGTGTGTGTGTGTGTGTGTGTGTGTGTGTGTGTGTTTAAATTCAGTTTTGTATGCTAGCATTCTTTAAATGTCTGCCAGGAGTTTAATTTGAATTTCTGATCCCTGAAGGCAGCTAGACAGAATCATTCTAGTTCTTCATAAATTGCCTTCTATGATTCATTGTTAACTCATAAAACACTCATTTCTATATACTCAAACAGCTGAGGTAGTTACAGTATCGGGGATATATATATATTTTTTTGTCTTATATTTAAATTGTCTTATGAGAAAGAAAAAAAATTAGCTTAAACTGCCAGATAGGCACCGGGCCCTGTGGCTCCGAGAACATCAGAAACGCACGTGTTTATCTCCGGGAGAGCAAGGTGGACAGCGTGGGATTGGAAAAGAGGAAAGCTTCGTTTTCACTGAATACTCTCAAAGAGGGGCCCGTAAATATGAGACCGCTGTAGTTAAAAACTCACATGACTGTTTTAAATACTATTGATTTAAACCACTGGCTAGATTTTATGAATCAGAGTGTAATTTCTGAGCTCTGGCCATATTTCTCAGTGCGAGGCTCTCTCTCCTGTGTGCCTTTAGCTGCTTTCCACACATTCAACCCAGGATTAAATGATAGCAGTTACAGTGATCAATAGGTTAAGACTGCTGCGATCACTCTTGCCGCTAATGACCTCAGTAGTAATGGGCAATAAAGTGTGGGCTGTAATAGCCCGTCGCTGGTCCTGCGTGCCCTTTGATTCCCAGTATTAGTGGGGACTGGCGCATGAGAAAGTTGGACGCTGGGAATTCGGGCAGTGGATACATGGCTGTAATTCTTAACTAGTTAAAGCCTTAAACTGTGCTCTGATTTTTTTCCCCTGCCCCACCATGGTTTCCGACCCATTTGAATATGTTTGCTATAGCTTCCCATAACCTCCTTTCCTGATCTGTTGGAGCAGAAACTTTGGGGAAATCTCAGTTTTATTGCATTTATAAATTAATCTTGAGCCTCCCTTTAGAGGTTTGGTGCTAACTGGTGAGAAAATGTGGTTTCGGACAGTAAAAGCCAAGTTCAAGCCATTGGGACACAGTGGCCACTTCTGGTCACTCAGGGACCCATCAGCTGGGGTGGAGGATCACTCCAGCTTCTTGCCTCAGTCCCTCCATGGGCCGGGCTGGGCTGCTGCTCATCAGCTTCTCCATCAAAGTGTCCAGAGGAAGAAAGCAAGGGAGGGTCAATGCACTGCTCTGCAGCATAACTGCAGAAGATTAATAGATAACTGTGGGAAGGGGGCCTTAAACCGCGGGCTGTCTGTGAGGCTGGAAAATTCTCTGTGTGGGTTCTGTCCCTCATCACCCCTCCCCTTTTATTGACAGTCAAGAGACAGTGGTATTCCTCATTCAAGAAGATGCACGCAATTTTACCAGAGTTAGAAAGAAAATAAAACTTCCAGAATACATACACACACATATGCACACACACACAATCATGCACAAGCATGTGTGTCTACACGTGTGTATGTACATATGGAAAACTTCTAAAAAAACTGATTCACCGAGGTGTCCTTTGCCGACAGCACTCCTACTAAGGGTACAGGCAGAAGACTTCTTCTGTCAGTTCCATGCATCTGTGTGACCACCACCCTGGTCGGAGTGCCCCCGGAAGTCCCCTGGCCCCTGGCTAACAGGATGTCCGTAGATCTCTTGAGTATTCACAGCCAGGGGATTGTTTCTGTGCTGACTTGTGTTACAACTCTGTGAAGTTCATGTTCGCCGTCGGTTCAGACCTTACACCACCCATTCCTGTGCGTTTTCCTGTTCATCACCATTAGAAATTTGGCTCAAGAATATTTATATTGTACATCATCCAAGAAACGCAGAGGAAAAAAGAAACCTTAAACATGGCTCTTTTGTTTGCTTAATTGAACCTCCTGGCCGGGTCTGTGATGCAACTCCCAAGGAAAAGTCAACCCCGTGAGGTGACGTGTGGCCTCAGCAGCCCCAGACAATGACTGGCACCCCGTGCGCATTTGAGAATCCAGAAAGTTTCTTCTGGGCAAAGGCAAAGTGAACTAATTGGAAATAATTTGTAGGTGGTTGGATGTTTGGGTAATGTCATCTTGATGTTTGCCATAGACTGAATGCAAGTTCGCCGTTCCGATCATTGGTGGTATTTCATGCTGCGAATTATCTTTTTTAAAAGGATAATTTATCCATTCATATACATCTGTCCCTTTTTGCATATAAAAATATTCAGACATGCCCATCTGTTTTAAATTACAGTGTATCTACATCTACACTTAAAAGGCCACTGCAATAGGAAGAATTCATGGATGACCTTCCAGAGCTGGGTTAATGAAATTTTCCCAGGATTCAAGCTAGTGTTTTCTAAACATGCAGAACTTGCACGTCAACATCCCCACACACAACATGCCCACAGCAACAGTGCAGAGCATTCACTGTACATGAATCTGACCTTCAGGAACCATTTTTAGTTCATCAAAATTAGTGATGCTGAGAAATCGGGACATCAGAGCATAATGACTGTGAAATTAGGAATGAGAGCTCGCTATGCAAATGACAGGACAGATCATGTGAGAGAGTCAAGATAAACTGCACATTAAGACATTATGTTACATAAAATTAATACTGCATTTCTCCCTTTTGCTTACTGTTCCCCTGAAAGATTTTTTAATTCTTTTATCTTCTGATCAGCTATTGTCTGCTGAATTTTTTTCAAGTGGCACACAGGCAAAGTGCAAAACATGTTATTACCTTTTATTGTAATACATGAGATGACAGCAGATCCTTTTTAACAAAGTATATCCTTTACTGCCTCTTGCTTCTTGCTGTCACATGTTTGATTAGAAACCAAAGAGAAGTAAGATGCTTAAATATTACTCTTCCAAGACATACGGGTTTTGTCTTCTCCTTCGTTGTTTTCTTTTCTTATCTTTTCATTGGGGTGTGTGTGTGTGGGGGGTGATTCTTCATGAAATAGTCTTGCATTACGGGGACTGACAAAATGGTTCTCATGTAGTCTGCAAATTAAACACAAGTGCAGTGATTATTTTGAATAGCTAAATTACATTCTAGAAAGCTCGCGGAATTCATAGCATTGTCATTAGGTATCCGCTTGAATACAATTTGTGTAACCTTGGCCAAGACAGGCTGTCATTTTAATGTCAGTGTTTTATCTGAACAAGACATCATCCTTTCAGATCCAGTGTACAGGTTCCTTGCAAAGATGCCCGTGCAGAAACGTGTTAACAGTTGCAAATATGAAATGCTATCAAGTTCATCACTGTAGCTGTTTGTCACTGAAATGTCATGGAAAGCGGCTTTTAATGGTCTCGCACATAATATGAAGGAATTGAGACATCTGTGTGCTGGGTGAACAGGAAGGGTGAAGGCGTCACGGAAAGAGTCTGTGCCCAGGTTCAGAGGGCGGCTCTGAGGTTCCCTTATCAATGGGACTTGGCAATTATTGATTGTCCTGAAAATTGCTATGCACAAAGGAAGTGCGTCCCATAACTCCAGCTGCAAAGCTATGGGGTCCTATGTCCCTTCTCCCTTAATACAAAATTCAAGTTTGGGTTAACTTCCTCCAGCTCGTTTTGATTGAAGACTCGTTCTTAACTAGAAGCTGAGCTCTTTCTATCCCAGATCCGGATAGCATTTGTTAAGTTTCTCCTCCTTGTCTGTCTCTAAGACTTTCTGGAACCCCCATCAGGGCCGAAAGGTCTCATTTTTCTGTATTCAAAGTAAACTCCAGGGCTGGGGTTATTGCTCAGTGGTCGAGTGCTGGCCTAGTGTGTCTGAGGCCTTGGGTTCTATCCCTGGTGCCACAAAAATCGCCCTCTACAGACTCCACGGGAGATGGCACAGCGGTCGGTGCTGCGTCCCTCTGCCGGAGTCCGAGTTGCCTGGGAAGGTGGTCAGCTATCTGGGCAGGCTGGGGGCAGCCGGCCACTGGCCTGGGACGCAGCGTGCTATGGTTTCCTGGCCTCTATTCACGCTCGGTTACGTTCCAGGTCCCCGTGTCGGTGGCTATGATGACACCTCAGGTTATCACTCCGCAGCAGATGCAGCAGATCCTCCAGCAACAGGTGCTGAGCCCTCAGCAGCTCCAGGTCCTCCTCCAGCAGCAGCAGGCCCTCATGCTTCAGCAGGTAACCATCCCCACCCCCACCACGCCCGCTCAGAATGGCCCCTTGGCGGAGTGGCCGCCATTCCCGTTGGAGAGGGCAGGTGGCTGTAGCAGTCTGCAGACCAGCCCCCGAGGGGTGGGTGGCATCTGCGTCCCCGAGAGACAGCCCGGCCACAGTGGCCAGGCTTTGGGACCAAGCTCAGGGCTGTCACTGGACTTGGTGGAGAAAGGTCTCGGGGCTTAGTGGCTTACCACTCTTTTATTTGCTAAGCCCAGAGGCTTCTGGATGGCGAGAATCAAAGCAGAGCGTGGGGGCGGGGGGCACGGCTGGAGCAGGTTTAACTATGACAGCTCTTGAAGTCCCCATTTCAACTCCGACCCTGACGGAATTTCCCCCGTAATACAAAGAAGTGTTTTGGAGTTGGTTGATTTCAAGGTGCACTTTTCATCTTCTTCCGTCTGCGCTCATGTTGAGATGAGCCTCTGGCTGTCATTCTGCCATGGGGACCTGATGTTCAGACCTCGTGGACACTTGAGCCGAAGGGATGAGACGGAGTACCGCAGCGGGCGAGGGGTGGCAGGGACCCCAGACAGGAAGCTCCCGTGCTGGCCGGTGCTCCGCGCTGCCCACCCCCACTGTCTGGATGTGCTAGAGACTCACCAGACTCTCTCAGCAAGGGCATCTTGGCTTTGTTGTACTCTCAAAGGTCATCGCTTGCCTTATTTTAATTAGTTTGTGTAGAAAATGGTATGTTTTTCATCAGTCCATTTTTGAGATTACTTCTCAAACAATAATGCCAAGAATAGTCAGCGTGTGCGGAATTTATTGTCGACTTTCAAACTAAAGGTCAGCCCATTACAGATAGAAGAATGCTCTTTTTCAGATCACAGTTTGTCTACGGCACCGAAAGGGACAGTGGACCGGCACTGCCCTCCGTCACTTACCGTCCTGTCCTCTCTTTCCTTTGTAGCAGCAGCTTCAAGAGTTTTATAAAAAACAACAGGAACAGTTGCAGCTTCAACTTCTACAACAACAGCATGCTGGAAAGCAGCCTAAAGAGGTACCGACAATACATATTTTACCTTCAAACCGCAGCTCCCCAAGGACTCTCTAGTGGCTGTTAAACTGTCATTCATCTTTTAAGTGATTGCGCAACTGAGCTGACTCTATCGGTTCTCGGCTTTCAGACCCAGAGTTATTGTCCTGTTGTCTGAGGTTCCTCGGTTCCATTTGCTTCCTGCCACTTATCTTCCCAGTGCTGCTCCAGAGCCTGCCTGTGTGGGGACCGGGACAGGGGTCTTGGGCCGAGCACCCTGGGCTCAGGCTGGAGCTGGGGGTGAAGCGCTGTCTGTGGCATTTTTCTGGGACACTTGATTTTTCTTTTTCCAGCTCCAGAGGCTCTGGCCTTACAGCGATGGCCTCTTCTGTCACAAGAGTCAGCTTTTGTGAGGCTGGACAGACCAACAAGAGTTGGAAGAAAACTCAATGTCCCCATCTTGTTTGAGCTTCTCCCCACAGTTCTCCGCCTTGTAGTGGCCGAGGCCCAGGGAAGTCGGGGGTCTCGAGATCCTGGCTGAGTGTTTTCGTGGTACAGTAGCTTCTCCGTACTGTGCTTTGTGGGGTCACAGGTGTCTGCATGAGGCCCGCCACCCCACTGGGTGCCGCAGGCCTGGTGCGGCCCTCCTGGGGCTCCGCATCGCCCTCTGGAGGACCACTTGGTGAGGACACCCGGGACCCATTTCAGAGTTGCCCACCCAGCCCACCTCCTCCCACACCCTCCTCCTCCCACATGTGGCTGGCCACCTCCTGGGTCACCTCCTTGTGGTTCCATAGGCAGCCCCACCTCCTCCTCTGGCCTCCCTGCTGCTGCTCTCAGTGGCTGGCCACTCCCGTTCTTGCAGAGGGCCTTACCAGGTGACTGCCCACGTCCCCGTCCCTCCCATGAGCACAGATGCGGTGGCACTCCTTCCGCACCCAGGAGTCACCTACTCCCCGTGTGCCAGCCACTCCCTCTCGCGGGCTGGGTCCGATTTCTGCGCCCTGCCAGCTTCTCGCCTGAGCCCTGCTCAGCAGCCTCCTGTACCCCCCGCGGAGCAGGGGCAGTTTTGGGGTGAAGGGGAGGCGGGGTTGAAATGAAATTGCTGACACAACCCTCAGTACAGTGGCGCTACCGGGTGCTGCTGTAATAAAATAGGGAACAGATTAAAAAGTGTCTAAAATGTAAATCTAAAGGACTAACAGTAATTAAAATGGAAATGGCGCAGGGAGGGAAGGCATGTAATTGTGAGATATCACTGCACAAGGCTCTCAGCTTTGTTTTGCTGGCTGTTTTTCTAATTCAGCAGGGCTTACTCATCAGTGGCAGTTCAATGCGCGTTAATGACTCTGGGATTGCAGGCATCACTCTGGACAAAGAAATGATTATTGTGCGGTCAAAAGAAGTTCAAAGACAAGAAGGGAATTTCAGTTTTTTCCTTAGAGATCCACATTCAAGAGCATATAAATTAAGCCAAATGTTAAAAACCACAGTCTGAAAGCTGACTTCAAAGTCACAACTCTCTAATTAATGAACTGCGAGCTTCAGTTTGGACAAGTTGTGGTTTGATGCGCCCATAAATCAACATGACAGCCCTGTTTCACAGTCTCAGACAGTGCTTGTCATTGAGTCACATCAGATGTAAACACAGCAGAAAAAAGAAGGGGTGTGAAGGGGGGCAATTGATCAACAGAATTGGTAAAAACCCACTTTTGAAGCACATTATGCATGATCACAGGAAATGGTTACAGCCTCGAGAGGGTTCCCTTCTGCTGTTGCTTTTTTGAATCAGATTTCTAACAGCCTTCAAAAGGGAGAATAAGAATTATGGAGACTCTCCCCTGTGGCTCACAGGCAATAACCCCCTGTTGTTATTTTGTGCTTCTTTCTTTTCAAAGGCATCAAAATTTAGTTTTTTAAAGATCTTTAACTCTATATTTGAAGACAAACAATAAAGGGCTGCCACTGTCATTCTTATCAGTTACCGGGGACTGTGTTCCCCCTTTCTGTTGCCACTTCTTGTTAACCTCTTATTTGGTCTGTTAGACAGAGTTTGGAATCCTCGTCCTCATGCTGGGAGAACATGAAAGTTCAGATGAGCTCCGAGGGCCTCCGAAGAAACGAGAAAGGGAAAGTTACGGGGCAGGAAGGAGGATAAAAGTTCACTCTCCAAAATTGCTCCTGTCAGGAAGGGGAGCAGAGAGAGGGGGGTGATGGCTGAGCCAGGGACGGAGGGAGGCGGGGAGAAGATGCTCTGTGTCCACCGAGGAGATGCACTGTGACGGCATTGCCCCTTGTCCACAGCGCCAGGTCCCAGGCAGAGGTGACCCAGGAGAGTTGTGGCCTAGAGTCTCCCGTGGGTGGCGGAGGCCGGTGGAGTGGATGGGTCTCCTGGCTCGGTGCTGACCCGGTTCTTGGTGCTGTGGGACTTAGTCAGTAGGTCCCTCCTTCCCTGGGGGGTCGGGGCTGGTCTCCTGAAGTTCATCCTGCAGGTGGTGGTCCCTTGGGGGTGAACGAAATGCCACCACATGGTAGCAATTTTATGATGCTGGTCGTGCTTTTAGGAGGGTTTGAACTTAGAGGTTGACAGGTGGAGCAAGCACATCACAAGCCACTCATCAGTGGCACGTAACTTGGTGCCGTGAGTGTTACGTCCCCCTGTTGATGACCTGCAGCAAGCCCTCGGGTTGCCTCAGGTGGTCTGGAGATGTCTCCCTGGGCAGCCTTGCGGCACGCTGGGTTAGACCCAGGTCCCTGCTCAGGAGATAGGTGCTCATGGTGGGAGGAGGCAGAGGGAGCCCCGCACAGCCGTGGAAGGGACTGGTGTGGAAAATGGAGGGCCCAGTAATATGAAATCAAGCTACAGAGAAAGATGGCGTCCAGTGCCGGTGAGGTAGGCCCGCCTGATTGTTTTCAAAGGCCGGTTTGTCCCAGGCATTTATGACGGTTTATGTTAGGCCTAGGGAGTAGCCGAAAAAGGGAAACCAGACCTTTGACTGGCGCGCAGGGAGGGGATCCGAAAGGCAGGGTTTATCAGGCCCTTCTGCGTTTTAACGCTGCCCACTGACCTGCCGGGGGACTGTGCGGAGACCTTTTTTGTGCGCATTCAATTGTGAGAAGTAAACAAATGGACTCGTATCCTGTGTTTGGTAACTGGGTGGGGAGCAAAGTCTGGCAACCAGTGTTGCTTTTAAATTCTTTCTTTGGACAATGGGCCTTGTATACTTTTATATCCTGGCTTTTCAAACGTGCACAGCTTTCGTGAGGTTTTCCTAGGGATGGCCAGAGACAACAGAGAAGGCATCAGTCACTTTGTATAAATACACGATGTTTTAAACATTTCATTTACAGTAAGACAGGAAAGGCCCGTCCCAGCCTCCGGCCCCCAGCACACTCTGCCTCAAGAAGGGCTCAGTCCTCGATCCTGTAGTGTCCACGTTGTCCTTCTCTCCCTCCCTGCCCCCCCTTTTTTTTCCTTATAATGTCGTGAGTTAATATCTGTTGAAGAAGTGAAAAAAATCATTTTGACATGAATATAACTATCATTGGGTTTTACATTAATGTGATAACTTGGGAAGGGTGAAGACAATTGGATCATTTTATGCATGCTGTTCTTAAAATGAAAACACGGGCTTTTCATTTAAATTTATTTAAATTTTTGTTGTTAGTGGTATAGAATTTGTTTTTTGGAGTGAAACTCAATTAACTTTCTCAGTGGCATGGTAGTAAGTCTGAAATTGGTTGCTAATAGGAGAATGAGGGTTTTTACTGTGGAAGAATCTACGTGGAGCCCGAAAGGAAGCCACCATTTTTCTCCTTCTTTGGACTTGGCCTTGGAAGGTCTTGGTGCGCACGCCGTTTGGTGGGGTCCCGGATCCAGGCAGTGAGTGCCCTGTGTAGGGGGTCCTGTCGCTGACGGGAACACGCAGGTTCTGCGAGCGTGGGCAGCCCACCCGGTTCCTGACCTCCCTGGTCTCTTGAATGTGAGTCAGAATCAGGAAAAGTTCTGATTTTTTTTCTTGAGGAATTCTTTTTCCTTCTTTTTGGCCCCGGTTTGGGAAGGGTTAATTTCCCTTTCTGACGGTTAGCCCTGGTGTGGCCGGGCCCTCCACCTCGAAATGATTCCTCGCAGATTAAGGATATTAGATAATTTCCTTCTATTTATTATACTACCGCACTGTATTATCTTTCTATCACTGAGATAATTACTGAGGAAATCTACATTAATTTTTTGGCTGGAGCAAGGCCTGCTAAACACAGGAATGCTGTATTGATGTTTTACACAACAGAAGTTTTCCTCCTATCACGACCCATCAACAAGAAGATTCGCCCGTGTCCTAAAGCCCCTTCTTTTTGAGAACAAAGCAGGCGCCCGCCAAGCGGGTCCAGCGAGCAGGCCCCGGCCCTCCCAGGCCACAGTCAAGTTGAGGCGCCTGAGCTTTGAGCCGCTCCTATCCGGCACTCGCAGTCAAGTGCCTTGGTGTTGTTTGGTAAATTATGAATGTGTGTAATTAAAATCTAGCGGCTGTTTCTATGAAAGATTTACAATGTTATTTCATCGTTTGTCATGGCTAATTAACAATATTAGATGAAGTTTTTCTTCTTCAAAGGTCTGATTTCTTCTCATTTATTTATGTCAGGAGTGATAAACAGAGTAGTTACAGGCTCCTGCCCGTGCAGGCGGAGAGGGCCTCACCTTGCTCCTCTGCACCCCCCCGGGCTCAGGGTTCAAGGCCCCCCAGGCTGGGGTGGGTGACTGCAGGCCTCAGGTCAGAGGTTGGCTCCCGACTGCCCGAGGTGGGCTGCAGGGGGAGCCGCTGTGGAGGGCTTGGTCCCTGCAGGCACAGCCATCAGAGGGAGTGCCCTCCCGCTAGGCAGCTCCTCTTGAGAGGTGGCTGACGCGGAGCCCACCCTGGGCCCAAGCCACCCTGGGTTTCGGGGATGGCGGTGAGTTTGGGGTGCTGCCCTCTTGTCCTTGCCTGGGAATGGCCTCTCACGTCTCTCCTCTTCTCTTGCAGCAGCAGCAGGTGGCCACCCAGCAGTTGGCCTTCCAGCAGCAGCTCCTACAGATGCAGCAGCTCCAGCAGCAGCACCTCCTGTCTCTGCAGCGCCAAGGCCTCCTAACCATCCAGCCCGGGCAGCCCGCCCTTCCCCTCCAGCCTCTCGCTCAAGGTATGGGCCCTGTCTCTATGGCGGCCCTGCGCAGGCTTCGGGGCGGAGGGGGCAGAGGGGCCAGGTGTCCGGGGGCGATGGCCCTCCGAGACACGCGTGTGCAGACTGAAAGCAAGGCTGCAGGAGGTCCTGGGGGCCTGGTCCCTGAGGCCAGAGGAGCACTTGGGGGAGCACCGTGCGTATTGGTCCCTCGGGGAGCACTGCAGCAACTCTGGGGACATTTCTGTTTGGAACCAGGAAGTCTCCTCTCAGAGGCTGCTGTTAGTCATGTTAACACACATTTTATGTCATGTGGCTCGTTGTATTTCAGACCCAGCAGTGCTTCACACACATGCCATTTCTTAAATATCTAGGCATGAACTTGTGTTTGTTCCCCTGTCAATCACTCAACTCGGTCTCGTTCAGTTGCGAGAATCAAGGTCATGTTTTCTCTCCTTCTCTCCTTTTTCATTGGCCTGTGGTGTGGAGCAGGTTCTCGCCCTCTTCAGAGCAGGTGCCCTTTCTGTTGCCAGTTCTTCCTCAGTCATGGGTTCCTAGAAAATGAAAAGGTTTCCTAGGTTTCATGAGTTCCTTCTGCAAAGCCGCTGACATTTCATCCCGAGGGTATTGGACATCACAAGAAGAGGGAAACTCAGGGTGTTGGCTTAAGCCGCTCTGGCTTTTACATATGTGTGAAGGCAAGTGGTTATTCAGGGGAGGAGAGAGGAGGTGACGTACCTGTGCCCATGTCCTTGGCTGGCCACATTAGTAAGTCCCGCATCTGCAGATCCAACCAAGCATGGATTGAAAATATTCAGTTAAAAAAAAAAAAAAAGAGCACCTCTGCTGAGCATGTACAGGATCTTCCTTATTCTCACCATATAGTAGAACAAGTGTTTATGTCATGATACGCTGCAGTAGGTGTCAGTGACCTGGAGGTACTTCCAAGCATGAGTACGATGCCTAGGTTGCCTGCAAGCTGACCACCATTTAGATAAGGGACTTTGGCATCCAGAGGTGGCCCCGTGGACATGGAGGGGGGTGGTTCCTGGCTCCACAGACCTCAGTGGCTTCCTCAGCCCTGGGTCCTCCGAGCCTCAGCAGATTTGATGTGTCTCTCCAAGGCAGCAGGCCACAGCTTTGGGTGTCTCAGGCTCAGTTGTCATCTGAAGAAGGCTAGAAATGTGGGGTCTTCCTGGTGTCCTCTTAGGCGGGGCTGTTGGCTGGTGACCGTGGCTGGCGAGTGGAGCCAGTGAAGCTGAAGCGGGGCTGTATCTGAATCTTCCCGTGGAGTCGGCGACGCCCAGCTTCTGTCCCCGAGGGTTCTCCTTGTTCTGAAGGTGGACTGCGGCCTCTCCCTCGCCCTCCACACCTGTGCGCCCCCTGTTCAACTTGGTGCCTCCTCATCAGCGCTTCCCCGGATGCCCTCAGAGGGGCAGGTTTGGTGACTGCGCCACAGGAGGAGAAAGGAAGGCCATGGGGTAGCGCATTGTGAGCTTTTGCCCAGGGTCAGATGGGCTTCCTTCACACCTCCTGGCCTCGGGCTTCACCCTGTCTCCCTTTCCCTCTGCTCCTAGGCTGTGAAGTTTGCTCTCCGAGGTTCATTGTTATAGTATATCAGTTAAGCTGTCCAGAAGAGGGCAATTGGGCAGGGACAAGACAAGCTCATACATAATGTGCAAGAAATGAATGTGGTGGTGCATGGAGTGTAATCTCTGCAGTATCACATCAGACACCGGCAGGTAATTCACGGGTGGCATTGATGGATCTGCTTAGCAGTCTGCTGTAACTATAAGCCCCTGCAACATTAGGAGGGCGCTCGCTTGGCATTGGAGGGTGCCTGTGTGCGCCACGATGGCACAGCTGTACGGGCAGATATTTCTGGGGTCGAGTTCTTGCAGGAATTGGAGCCACACTCTTGCCATCTCCTGTGGATCAGGAGCCGGGCTTGTCTCCCCTGCCCCCTCAGCCACGGAGGCCTGAGAATTCAGTCGTGTGGACTACAAGACAATTCCTTTTTATCAGAGAGATGATGGCTTAAAACTGATGTCATTATGAGGTTTAAATCAACTTTCTGCTTGCTTGAACATGGTCACCTGGGTATGGATGTACAAGGACAGAAAAGGTTGATCAACTCTGTTTGTCTTTGAGCCAGTGATACCTGGGGTGGTAAAATTGAGTTCCATGAGCAGTAATCTGTCAACTGTCCCCACAACATACATTTTTTAAGCCTGCGCCTGCATTTTCTTTTATAATGAAGGGACTGGATGTCCTGGGGAAAAGGAAAGGAAGGAAGGAAGGAAATGTAGCCAGGGCACAGGAGTTGGGTGGCGAAAATGCCGGGATGTCCGTTGATGGAGAAGCCTGCGTGCGCACTT